ACAATATACCAGGTAATAGAATAAAGTATTGAGGATGTAATCATCATAAATATAATAATTTTATTTTCATAACTGCGGACAGTCTTTCATATAAACAAAGTGTTTACAGACAAGTTAACAGGTTGATTTTAAAATTGTCTTTAAACAAAATCCCACAAACTAACTAGGTGAATGAATTAAATATATTTGCATATTATTACTAATACATGTAATATAATAAAATGTTCTTTCATTTCAATTATTATCTATTAGTAAGTTTTTTTTTAACAGATGACAAATAAAACACTGACCAGCACAAACGTGTAAAAAAACACAAAGAAAATCTAATATGCAGAATGGATTTTCAAGTATTACGTTCCTTAAAATTCATTATGAATTATATTACATATTGTTTACAGTATGAACAGACTAAGCATAACTAAGAGGATAGATTTATAATACACACTTCTTCAGAAAACAATTTATCTAGAACGATAATTTCATAAATAACAAAATTGTATAAATATAGGATATTGATTGAGTGAAGACTTTAATTAACAAGTCGAAGAAAATCATATGATGTGAGCCACTAGTGTAATAAATTTGTTTTTATTAACTTTATTACACACCTGTATCTTTAGTTTAAGTCATAATTATATTTATAATTCATGTACTTTGTAGATAAGTCAAATACAGACATAAAATTTATCATTTTCATTTTTCATTCAAGAAATACAGCTGAGAATAACTTAGAAGAAATTTAAATGTATAGTTCTATAAGTTTACAAAATTGTTTAAATTTTGAAAAGAAAAATTAAACAATCCCTGTAGGAAAAAAATATGTTTGTAATTTCGATTAAAATGAATAGCACGTGCACAAAATCATTGCTAAATGGTTAAAACTTACTTAAAATGGTAGCATAATGTTTTGTTCCAAAAAAAATATTTTGATGAATTTTTGTGCGTGCCATTCTATGTTTTTTTTTGAGAATGTAAACAACATATTAATTTTACACTTATTTCAATAGATATAGCTAAATAGTCTTCAAAAAGCCAACAATTATATGTGAGTTAAAAATTGTTTCATCTAAATGTATTATAAAGATGAGGTCTTATTTTATTAATGAAAAAATAAGTCTACAAAAAACCATGACTATAACTAAACTATTGTGTAACATTTAAAAGGTGAATACAGGTAAACATTATAGCCTTACTATCATGCTGTCCTAGCTATTTCAAGTTCAAGACATGTAAGTAGCAACAATCCTATCTGTAACTGCATAAATATCAAGCCAATCCAGCTTGCAGAACTTTACCAAAGCAGGCCAAATATTGTTGAATGCTTAAATTTAGCAGTTTGATATTAAAATCCATTTAACAACAAATATACTTTTTTTTAAATTCAATTGAGCTAAAGTCCATCTCACAAATCTAGCAATGTCACCATTAATTTCATACCAGTTTATACCACTTAACAAATGAAAACTTTTCAGCAACTATGAACCTTCAGGTGCTATTTCAACTTTATACACTTCACCATTTATCTCAACAAAGTCTCCTGTAGCCAACTGACTTAATTGTTCCGTAGACACTTCAAATCTTTCATTACCTTCAGCTGATACTTCCTCTAAAGTGCCTTCATCCCTGATGATAGTTTCACTGGAATTCAAAACTTCTGCTTCATTCATTTCATGTGTTGAAACTATCTCTATGGCCGATGATACGATTTCTGAAGTCATATCATTATCCACATTCTGTGTTTTAAGAATTCCGGCCTGCTCTGCAAGAGCCTGTAATCCTTCAATAGCTTCAGCAGCTTCATGTTCCTGCACTGAGGCGTGAAGAACTGTGCTAATTGACACCTGAGGAGATACCATGCTGTGTTCATGCGATGAATCTGAGACCACATACGATTCCATTTCATCTGCCATTATGTTGTCTATTGTAATCTTTTCTGCATGAAATGGAGCAGTGTCTTCCCCAGAGCCGGTCATGAACTCCATCTGAGCTGCATCATCCATTGTCTGAGTGGTGACAATATCTGACAAAGCCATGACACTAGATTTGACACTTTGACCTTGAACTTGAGCCGCTGCATTGTCTAATGTGACGTAACAATTCAACCCATCATCTTTCATGATGATTTCAATGCCATGCTTCTTCTTCATATGTTGGAACACGTTTCTACGTCTTGGATTAATATACCGACACAAAACACAAGAATAAACGTGAGTGGGTGGGGAATGGTCCTGCATATTATGTTTCCTCATGTGAACCAACAGGTTCTTTTTACTGTTTGTGTGGAAGTCGCAGACAACACATTGAAAATCGTTCGGCCCTTCATCAGGCATGACTTGTTTATGTTGAGCATATAGATGTTTATATAAATTAATCAGCTTGGAGAATTTCATTGAGCAGTAGTTGCAAGCGAATATTTTATCAGTACTGGAATAGTCCGACTTCTCAAACGGTCCTATATCTGCTTCTGATGTACTTTCCTTCGAGGCAGAAGTTGTTGCTGTGCTGGAGGACTGTTCCATACCGGCTATAAGAATCTCCTGAGGATTATTGTAATTCTTTTTTAGTAAAGATCTCCGCTGGTTACGCTCTACTTCAACACCATGCTGTGACCTCATATGACGCAAAACATGCTCTTTCTGCGTTGCACGATACGTACATAGCCCGCACTGAAACGGTCGCTCTTTTGTGTGTATTAACATATGCCGCCGTAATCGGCTAACACAGTCTGTTACAAAACTACAATGCTCACAAAACAGTTTTAATTCTGGTCCATTCTTATGGAACTTTTTGTGTTGTTTCAAATCTTTTTTACTGACAGTCATAAGACCACAAACATCACATGTGAATGCATTTAAGGCCCCTTCCTGTGGCATATGTCTTCTCTTGATATGATTTTTGAGGTCTGGGTCTTCACTGGAACATACATAGTCACAAAGAGGACACTGTACATTTTTCTCCTGTGAAAAAAAACAAACAAAATTAAAAAAATGCATAGATTCGTGCTATTTTTCATGAACATTTTGAATATGTATTTAAAAGTTTAATGTTGTGAAGTGAACAAAGAAAGTAATTTACAAAGACCGTCCAAACAACATAAATAATCAGAGAGAGGTCAAATTAGCCCTTATACTGCATAAGATGTGCAGTAGAAAAATGGTGATAGATACTGCAATATCAGTCATTAATTGCACACAACATGTAAATATTAACTTGAATCATTTTGCTTCACTTTAAATCTTAGTACATTTTTCTTAAGTTTAATTAACTTGGGAAATATTTTGGCTCATCTCGAGGTGTGCAGCTTTAAGAAAAGATAAAATATATATTTAACATAAAGACATGGTAACTCATTGTCATTTATAAACATCATTGAATTTGCTTCAACGTTTAGCAAATTATTTTGAAAAATGCAATTACTATACAAATGCAGTAGAACCCTACATGGAATTATGTTTAAAGGCATATGTTGCCTCAGAAACAAATAAAGAATGCTAGATGCTCATTACTTGGTGAAAGTAGCGATTAATGTGAGAATATTATGGTAAAAGTATAAAAATGAAAACAAAGTAGTATTTTGACCTCCATACAAAATACTAATTCACTATAACTGAACATAATGCCAAAAAGCAACAGATGAAAAAGATGGTTCAGGTAATTGACCAATGAATAACTTTTTGATACAATGTACTATAAAAGAACACTAAAATAAATAAAAAGCTTTTGAGATATAAAAATAAAAACTATCAGGGGCATAATGGGCCTTTAAACAAAATGATATATTGAATTCCAACCATTAGTCTTCAAGTTATGGTCTGGACAAGGAAAATGCAACGGACGTCTGGACCGACCGACCGACCACCGGGTGACTCCTATATACCCCCCCAAACTTCGTTTTTGGGGGTATAACAATACCTGTAGGTAAGGAATATGTTTGTATATTTTCATTAAAATGAATAATTTTACACTTAATAAAAGATATTTCAGTAGATATAGAATGTATAGCTAAATAATCTTCAAAAAAGCCAACAATTATATGCGAGTTAAAAATCTTGTCACCTGAATGTATTATAAAGATGAGGTCTTATTTTATTAATGAAAAAATAAGTCTATAAAAACAATGACTGTACTATTGTGTAACATTTAAAAGGTGAATACAGGTAAACAACTTGCCTTACTATAATGCTGTCCTAGCTATTTCAAGTTCAAGACATGAAAGTAACAATCCTATCTTTAACCGCATAAATATTAAGCCAATCCAGCTCTTGCAAAGTTACCAAAGCAGGCCAAATATTGTTGATTGCTTAAATTTAGCATTTTGATGCACTTTTTAAAAATTCAATTCAGCTAAAGTCCATCTCACAAATTTAGCGACGTAAAAAATATATTTCTCACAGTTTATACCACTTAACAAATGAAAACTTATCAACAACTATGAACCTTCAGGCGCTATTTCAACTTTATACACTTCACCATTACTCTTAACAAAGTCTCCTGTAGCCAACTGACTTAATTGTTCCGTAGACACTTCGAATCCTTCATTACCTTCAGCTGATACTTCCTCTAAAGTGCCTTCATCCCTGATGATAGTTTCACTGAAATTCAAAACTTCTGCTTCATTCATTTCATGTGTTGAGACTATCTCTATGGCCGATGATACGATTTCCGAAGTCATATCTTTATCCACAGTCTGTGTTTCAAGTATTCCGACATGCTCGGCAAGAGCCTGTAATCATCCGATAGCTTCTGCAGCTTCATGCTCCTGCACTTAGGCGTGAAGAACTGTGTTAATTGACACCTGAGGAGATACCATGCTGTGTTCATGCAATGAATCCGAGACCACATACGATTCCATTTCATCTACCATTATGTTGTCTATAATTGTAATCTTTTCTGCATAAAATGGAGCAGTGTCTTCCCCAGAGCCGGTCATGAATTCCATCTGAGCTGCGTCATCCATTGTCTGAGTGGTGACAATATCTGACAAAGCCATGACAGTAGATTTGACACTTTGACCTTGAGCCGCTGCATTGTCTAATGTGACGTAACAATTCAACCCATCATCTTCCATGATGATTTCAATGTCATGTTTCTTCTTCATATGTTGGAACACGTTTCTACGTCTTGGATTAATGTACCGACACAAAACACAAAAAAGTTACTCATTTGCCAATTACCTGAACAATCTGTTTCATCTGTTGCTTTTTTGCAATATGTACAGTTACAGTGGTCATTAGTGAATAAGTATTTTGTTTGGAAGTCAAAATACTACTTTGTTTTCAGTTGCTACCTTTTTGACACATAATTTCACATTTATCGCTACTGTGTGAGGTAACAAACATTTTTGTAAAACATTATTTAAGCATTATAAAATTCATGCTTGCTTTTTCTTATTAAGTACAAATTCATTTGTTTCTGAGGCAAAATGTGTCTAATTTAAATTTTAACATATTATTGTTCGAGTCTAGGTCAGTTTGTACATTTTTTCTCGCCCCGTTACATTTGATTCACGTGGGGCCATTATTGCATATAGTTCAGCGTATAATTTTGATTGATCTATAGCCCTGAGATATATGGGAACTAATTTTAATATAGCAGGAGTAATTGCCATGGATCAGAACTGTTTTTAGGGGAGTAGATTTGAAAGCGGCCGGATAGCTCAAAGGGTAGTGCAGCGGTACGTATTTCGAGGGTCCGAGGTTCAAGACCTTGTCAGGCTGCACATTTTCTCACCCTGTAACAAAATTACCAATTGATGGGACAGACGATATAAAATAATTAAATATTTAATCAAAATAAGATAAAATTAGTTTACTATTTATCTGCATTATACAATCTACAATGAAGATTTATTGTGGAAAGACAGTTAGAACACCACATGATCATGTATATATACAAAACAACTATTGCATTTTAGAAATCATAATTGTTTGCAGAAGTGGATCCAAGATTTTACACCAGAGTAGGTTTGTAAAATTTCAATGATGGGCACAATACATATGTCAGTGTGTCTTTGGTATTTTACTAGTTTTCCAAAAGAATCACGAGTTATTAAATCTTTGAAAAGGACAAATATTTTTATTGACGTCATACGATTTCTATAATAATCTTTGTTGAGAGCATTCAGTTATATATAATATTACATTTCGCAAACAGATCTCTATAAATGAATAAATTGATATGATTGAGATTGCGAAATGTAATATCCAGGCCACACCACGGGAGGAACACTTTCACGTATGATGGCTGAATTTTGCCATTTCGTTACTTCGTCATCTAGAACCACAGGGTTAAACTACTTTCAACTCGTATTATGTCTGTTAGGTCCGTAATCTGGTTCCCTGTCCTATTATGGTTCCCATCCAAGATGGCTGCCCATAATGGGATCAGGAAACCCCCAAGCGTATTGGACAGATTTCTGTGCAATGGACTGCGTCTTAAATAGAAATTTCAAACAACCAGATAATGAACGCAAAATTAAAACCAGTGGAGCACCTGTTAGCCTTATCCAATCAGATAATGTCCTAGATTAAAGTAGCCAATGAAACCGCGTCTGGGTTTCCAAGGTAAAATTAGAACGCCGTAACAACAACAAAAATGAAACAAGTGTTTCCCTCGATTCAGTGAAAACTGTTTGAATTTCTTTGACTAAAGTAATTCTTTATGTCATAATTAGGCAATATCCCGTATTAGTCCCCTGGGGGACTATTAAATTCTCACAAAATTTGTGTCGTTCAGACGCTTGACTTTGTTGCGCATGCGCAAAATAATTGCCTGTCAGTGCGCATTGCGCGTATGTCTATATCACGTGATAAATAACTTACATGAATAAAACATGAACGGAATGAATTATGAAATACAATCTGTAGCCATGTTAAATGTAATGCAGATATGACAATGAAACACAACACATCACATGTCTGCATAATAATAAACATTGTATGTCATATATAAATTTTCCAACTAATTATTGAGATTCATTCCGCATACATACGGAATGAATGTCAATAATTGAATAATTTCACAATTGTCATATGAAAGTTATCTAATTAATTACTGATATTAATTCCGTGTACTATATATAAATTACGGAATGAATGTCAATAAATAATTATTAAATGTGTATATGACATATTTATTGTTAGATTAATACATTTATCACCTATTTTATGTACGTCTGTGTGTGTGTGTGTGTGTATGTGTGTGCATGTGTGTGTTTGTGAATGAGTGAGTTGGTGAGTGAGTGCGTGCATGCGTGCGCGCGCGCGTGCGTGCGTGCGTGTGTATGTGTGTGTGTGTGTTCTATAGGAGAATTGTGGGATGTGTGTTACAAGCTCTGTTTAACGAAAGATCCGTTGTACATGGCAGTGCACATAGGCCTTCTTTATTTTTACCATCTTGCCAGATTTTAGTCTGAAGCGCGTATGTGTGTGAAACATGCTGAATGAAAATTTAGCATCAAAGGGCATTTTCACCAAGACATTCCACCAGTTAGCCAGAAACTGAGAGAAAAAAACCATATACATGTATTAAGATTTTATTATGATTTTATAAGAAATTTTTATAAAAACAAAGACAAACAAGAGGCTTTACATTTATTTTTCTATTAATAAATTAAAGTTATTTATTGGAGTGAAACATTTAAGTGAAGAAGAATAAACATTCATTTATGATAAATACTTATCCTATTCAATACGAAGAAAACGTTCAACGTGTCAGACATAAACATAAAATTTTGTTTTGCATTTTCTTGCATATTTGAAGTAATTTACTTCAGATATAAAAAGGACAGGAAATATACAGGGTGAATAAAAAACTTATAACAAACATTTAACATCAAAGGGAAGTTAATTCTTGGAATAAAGGTGACAAAATTATTTGAGTATTCATAAGTATAAGCAAGAGTAATGACGTCAGCAAGATCCTATTAAAATCAATTAAAGAAGATTGATAACGGTTAAAAGTTTGAAGTAATAATTACCACTGCCAAAATTGTCGAACCTTTTGCAGCGTACAGTAATCTTATCGTACCAAAACTCTTCGTACATATCAATTTTTGGACAACAAGACGTCAATAAATACCTTTGCATATGCAACGCTATAATGAGTATTTAAATAAGTTGCAATTTACGGTATGGGCTCTCATCTTATCATTTTTTCACCGACACAAAATCAGTTACAGCCAATTTACCTTCAATAACTTTCCCACGTGATCAACGTAAAATTTGCGATTATGATAGTAAATGACTCTAGCAATTTTATAAAATATACCAACGCTGACGGGTGTTAAAATGCTAAAATCCTCCATTACTCCGTATCGTACCTTTTCACCACCTTAAAAAGAATCGTACCTCTATACGTTTGACACCGCCCACACCCCATACCAATAATAAAAATAGACTTAACCAAGCAAATTGCATGTAGTGAAATCCATATAGAGGCTATTCGTTGCCAAAAATCCAGCCTTTGAAACTTGACAATGCATACTTCGGTTCTACTAAACAGATTAGTAAAAATCTAATTGTCGATCCGAGAGTTACATACTGCACTGGTATTAAGCATTTTGATTATCTCGATTTGATAAAATGAAAGCTGTTAACATGCAACTTAGATAAATTGCAAACTGTATTTATAAATGTATAACTTCAAATTTGCGACATGTAGAAATGTAAACGATAGAACGTACACAATACGTTTAATGCTGTGCATCATGACGTTGAGAATGTAACTGCATCAACTTGACACACTCAGGTTTACAACACCACACTTTCCTTTTACATTCTAACGCGATTAACATTTGTAAACGATTTTGCAACTTCCATATATGGAATTATCACGGAAATAGACGAAAATTAATAGGCGGAGCCAATTTCACGAAAGCAGAATATAAAGAGAGGTAACTCTTGCGGGTACAAAAATATTTCAAATTATATAGAAACTGTTACATCACTCTTGACTTTGAACATCCTCTGATTTTGTTAAAACGTATTCTAGTACAGGATATTCAAGTAATGCAAAATTGGTTAAGATATAATGTAAAAATGTAACAACGTATATACTGATAATGAGCATAATAATATGCAAAAACTAAAGTTGGTGAAATAACATAAGGAAATGTTTCCCATATATAATGACACACACCACTATCTATTGATATCAATGCTGTCATTAGCTGTTACTTAGATTTGCTGTCTAAATTTGTTGTCTACAGAAAATTTTTTAAGTTTTGTAAGTGATGGCTTTCTAAGAGATAAAATAAACAAGGTATACATAAATTGATAATCAACATACATACATTTGGACTCATTTAAATTTTACTTATTGAAAAACAAAATGGGAAAAATGGGAAAATATATGGTAAAAATAAAAAGTTATGTACGAAAGGGTACATACAACTTTGGTTATAATTTTACTATTGTTAAAAGTTTTTTTTCTTGTCAAGTCATACGCTAGAATTAAGGTTACTAATATAATAGTACTACTAGGAAAGACAACAGCCAGAATTTGGTCTGTATTAGTAATAAGTCGTATTAAAATCTCTATCAGATGTTGACTTGAAAATTTGAAAGTGGTAAGGTAGCAGCTTAACTTTAAATGTTACTCATTCCTATGCAAATTGGAATACCATCAGTAAAATTTATTTGTCGTTGAATATAGTCTTTTCAATATTTTTCACTTCCTTGAAAAATATTTAACCTCAGACAGTATGTAACCTGGTGATTTTTGGGTTTTTTTTTAAGTTTCTTTTTCCAGGAAATGTGGTGTCTACAACGTTTTAAAACTTATATGCCTATATTCCTTTAAAGTCCGCTGATGTTGATTGTAGGCAATCATGCAAGTGAATTATGTTTAGTAACTAAACACCTAAAAGGTATGATAAACGGAAGCTACGCCGCTTCTTGTCGCCGACGGTAAATACCGAAAATGAGCGGAAAATACGTTTATTTACGATGATTTAGTGGGCGGGAAAATGGGCGGAGCTTATTTTATCCTCTATTGAAAAACGTGTAAAGCTGGATTATGCTGATCTGAATCATGACGGTTCGACAATGTAAAGCTAAGAATGTAACT